AGCTGCCCAACATCACTCGATAAATATTATCATTCTTCTCCATACGTTCCAGCGCCTTTAGCGCACCTTCACTTTGTCCATATGGTGAAACACGCCTTTTCAGGAATACCGGCTCACCGTCGAACACCGCTTCAGGAACGCTCATTCCTCCCGTATTTTCAGCACACCGTATCTCCAGCTTGCGGATTTCCTAGGTAGTATCTGATTTCAGTTGACTGGTAAGTAGGGGTAAAAAAATGTCTCATCTTTCTCATTGCAATCAATCCAAGAATAGCCGGTTTTATGGTAGCATTTGTACATACATGTTCCACGTGAAATGATGGACTCACCACTGCTGGTATCCACAATAAAACTGTGTCAGAGTCCGGATTCAGAATCAATATCCCTGTGAACGAATCGCTTGTATTAGCCTATTATTCGTAATGTATAAATCTGGTTGGGTTCCTCCTGACACTAGTGTGTACTCCTTACCATGTTGTATTTCCTTTGGTGGCATACCTTCTGAATAGGACTAACTTTACCACAGGAATGACACTTTGCACCTCTGAATTGGCAGTTGAACGGTACGAGATACACCTATTAATGTTTGTGTTTGGGGTCCTCCGGTCGGAGCAATTTGTCTTTTGTATATGAAAAGGTTTGGACTATATTGAGGGTCTATTCCGTCAGGAATTTCTCTGGAATAGTAGAATCGACTCACGAGTTGCTGCTGTAATGAGATCATCGTGCTGCTCACATTCTCCGAGCATCGGGAGATTTTAGGTCCTTTTTCTCAAGCAACTTTCTCTGGAGAGTCCCATTTTTAATGCCTGCGATAAAGCGATCATATAATTGCTCTTCCAGTCTTTCTCCATAATTGCATTTGGAAGCCTGTTTGTTGAGCAACAGGATGAAATTGCGACAAGGCATTGACTCGGCACGAACCAAATAATTGAATTTTTCCCTCCCAATGGCTTGGAAGTCAACAGGATTCACGTGGACAAGAAGCAATTGTTTAAGCATCTGGAATAGTATCTTGGCCGAATTGTCGGAGAAAGCGAGATTCTTCAACAGAGAATCCATTTCCTTTCCGCGAACCGTGAGAAACAGCACGGATTGCTGCTGCTTCCCGTTCTGCCGTAGACTGCACCAGAGCTCGAAACATTCCACCATTCTTCAATCTCAGACGAATGTAAATGTAGGTTCAGGGATTCGATAGTGCGCAACTCCATACTGCGACACCAATTGAAGTATTCGGAATAAGAATCGGAATCGAATAGCGCGAACTCAGATTGGGACTGAAAACCCATTGAATAGCGAAAAGGCAGAAAAAGCCAAGACGAGCTGTAGAGACAATCAATTATGATCGGAAATTCATGCAAATGAATATAACAAGCATCCAACAATCATTGGTCGATTCTTCAAAGTTCAATCCACAAAGACATCGTTCATTTGTGTGCCTTCTTGCATCAAACCAGTCTAGTTGGTGCCACCCAAGATCACATGATTGGTCGGTAAAGCCACTTCTTGATTGGTTACCTGGAAGCTGCACTGTGGTACATGCGTACTCGTTGCACGATCATCACATTCTTTATTCAAATACGCTGAAGAGGGAATTTATATCAGGCTATCTCTGATCCGTCTGATCTTTTTCTATTTTCTGACAACTCGGAAAGCGTCCACAATTTTCTCTACCTACGGTCTCTCAGTATGTTTCGAATGTCTCTTTACGTTCTCACATTCTTCTTTCCAGCCTGCTCCAGTATCGATCAGCTCTGAACCGATATTCCAGGTAAGCTTTCTACATCACCTGGGGTTTGTTTTATCGACGGTGATCTACATCGGAACTCACTCATTTATCATTTGTTTCATCTAACTTCGACGATCTTCTTTACACGTCCGTAAACTTGGTCACTTTCGAATTCAATAATCGTTTCGCCCCAGATCCGTGTATCAGTGTGTCTTCCCCGATTTACTTTGTTGTTCAACTCTTTGTTATTTTTAATACTTTAGACAAGGACTTAAGGCTTCTTGGACGGGAACTGATCGTCATTATCCGTGTATCATTAACCCAGCTGGAGGAGGTTAGAATTAATCTGTGTTAAAGTTATTTGAATGCATGTGAAAATTTTGCATTCAAGATTCATATGTGCTGCACACATTCACCGCACCAAAATTTAATTTCTGGTCGCTCCCATTTGTCGACGAGGTCCCAATATCGTTATATTCCCTTTCGCTTTAACGTGCATCGCAAGTCTACAGGACTGTCTATAGCACGTATTGTGGTTAACAACTAGCTGGCGTTAACAGACGTCGTGGAAATTGTCGAGACCTTCTCCCTTTCTGTACTGTGTACACTTTTGACTGAAATGTGGGCTTTAATACCACACAAGTTATGATTACTATGTGCTGCGGAAAGCTTCGGGTTGATCCACGAGAAACAAGCCTGCATTTGTTTCGACCGCATTGCGGGAGTTCTTACCAAGAGACTGACGAGTACCAAATTTTGGAGTACTTTTAGGCTCAGTTCGTCAGGAAAAGTCACAAAAAATGGGATGAATTGACACATGAGGCGAAACGTTTAAAACCATGAAATCTAAATATACAATGCATCAGTGACAGTCTGGTACTTCCAAAACGAACAACTGATGAGACTTAAATTCGAAATCTAGTGACGATTCCAGTAATATTTACTTGGAGCACAAATTTGTTGTCTTGATTCATCTATAACCGCAACTAGTTATTGGTGATAACGAGATGGAAGTTGATGTGTTCTCTTCGGAATAGCGAATCGTTCATCCCAGCCGGTCATCATTATGTATGGCACCAAAATGGTCATAGTGGTTTGGAGAAGTGATGTTGCCTGGTGTTTTCGATCCCTTTTCGAAAAACCGC